GCCCCAGGCCGCGCCCAGCTACTCCGGTCGGGTGCAGGTCCAGGCTGCAGAAACGAAACCAAACCCAACCCTTTAAACCAATACACACACACACAAAAAAAAAAAAAAAAAAAAAAAAAAAAGCACCCTAGACAACCTATAACTCATAACCCCGTCCTGCTGGACTGTACTGAGTACATGGTGAACATAAAAAAAGGTACAATTGTACAATTGCACAGCCAGTCAAGCATCCGGGCAGTGATTGTCACGCGTGCAATGTTCGTTAGAGCACCGTCGAAAACAACACCATTTCGAACTATATTACACTGTAATGTACTGTATTCGAACTGTATTTCACCACAGCCTCCCAAAAAAATGACGAAAAAATGAGCTCAGGTGTTCCACGAACTCCTACAGTAATGTTCACCAAACCTGAGAATTGTGTCCAATGTGAACAGAACTTATTCATCGGTTTGGTTCTATACCCTTTGTTCACAACTTTGTGTCCAATCCATAGCAATGGCTTGTTTGATATTGAACTTGACTTCCGCTCTAATCATAAGAGAGGGGTAAGATGTTCCCTTCTTCTAACTGCCGAGTTCCTGAGGGTCCACAACGTCCAGAGGATCGCTCCCCTCAATGATTCTTCGGCATAGCCTAAAGCTCCAAGAGATGATTGTCTGCGAGACGCATTTCCCAAAAGGACAAAATCATCAGTCCATCTTGAAGAATTTTGTGGAATCGGGGGGACTCCCCCCCGCCACCATTCCCGAAATGTTCTTGACAACTCGCAGTGAAGCAACATATGTTGCAAATCTTTGATTCTAGTTCCTGAACATATGACACACAAGGGTGTAGCTTTGGTCGTTCTTTTAGCACACCAACGTTGGCAATGCTTGATGCATGATGAGCCACAGTAAACTGGCTTGTTTAACAACCGACAGATCCAGCAACAATTTCCAAAAGCGCGGCAGCGCCGAAGCCAGACGTTCTGCTGTATCTCCCACCCAACCAGAAGCAATCCAGCGTCTCGCCACCTGCCACCCGATATCTAGATCTGGCCGAGCTAGCTGATATCCCAATCTCGTAGAATCATCATAAAGGCACACCTGCTTCGCGGGTTCGAGCGGATGTTTCCACGCCCAGTCTTGCAGATCCACTGGCAGTTTGCAGGCTGGAACTGAAGCTGCAAATGACCGAACACAATCATGGTACTCCAACACACACACACTGAGGAGAGTTGCCCCAGTGGAGGACGAGGTGTCTGTTGTTCCTCGAGGACCAGTGGTTGGCCCAGGGATTGCTGTGGTACTTTACCTGATGGTCCACAAATGGAACTGTGGGAAAACTGGAACATGTACCGAATCCGTGCGGCGATTGTTTCACGGTCAGAATGATTTTATTTATTTTTCTGATATTTTTCCTGGAAAGATCAAGACCTTATCTAGTACTGTCTTCACCTGAATACAACGCCCGCTCATTATGGCTGCATTTGGACTGAAAATTGCACCAAATACGGCTATAATGGCCAGGCGTTCTATTCGGGTGAAGACGATAGTGCTCATATATCAGAATTTCTGTGAGTTCTTCTGAGCCGGTAGTGCTCATATATCAGAATTTTCTGTGAATTCTTCTGAGTGTGAAAAATTGCCAAAGTTGCCGCTTTCAAATTGCGGGACTAGGCCCGCCGTTTCGGCCGCCAGTCGCCTCCCTCCCTCAAAGCCCGCCCAAACTCACAGGGAGTCTGAGGGAGGGCTATTTCCGGCTGGTGGAGGGAGTGTTGATTTAATGAAATGACTGTTTTCGGTCGAGGATGGCAATTGTTCTTTGGCTCGCGTTTTTTTTTTTTTTTGCTTTTTTTCCTGGCATTTTTATAGTAAGTTGATGCCGTCTGAATGAATGTTGCAGTAATCTTTCTTCTATTCATTGTTGTTAGAGAACTTTACTCATTTAATTGTTTTTTTTTTAATTGCGATTGAAATTAAATTTGAACTTCAAAGTTAAAAGCTAAAACTGGGGTAGAGGGCTGACGCAAGGGCTTTTTAACCAACCAAAACAAAACAAAAAAAAAGGCTAAAACTGGGTAGTTGTGAAAAGTAGTAAAAATCTCAAAGTGATTTGAAAGAAAAGTAGCTCTTTTATTGGATCGGATGATTTCAGTAAAAAATTTGAATTACTTGATAAACGCAAGTCTATGGTGGAAACGGCGCATCAAAAAAAAAAAAAAGAAGAAGAAAAAAAAAAGGTGGAACCTAGTAAATAGCTAGGCTGCCAGCCGGGCCGACGGGTCACCTTGGTTCGGGTCAGGAAACTGGCTCGGGTTACGAAACTGGTTCACCCTACGGAACTTGTTCAGGTTAGGAAACTGGTTAGGGAAGGGGTCCCATGGTTGGAAACTGATTCAGGTTCGGAATCTGGTTCGGGTCAGGGAACAGGTTTGGGTTAGGAAACTGGTTCAGGAAGGGGTCCCATGGTTGGAAACTGATTCAGGTTTGGAATCTGGTTCTTGTTAGGAAAATTGTTTAGGTTAGGAATCTGGTTCAGGTTAGGAAACTAGTTCGGGTTAGATCTGATCCAGGTTGGGGAACTGGTTCAAGCTAGGAAACTAGTTTGGGTTAGGAAACTGGTTCAGGCTAGGAATCTGGTTCGGGTTAGGAATCTGGTTTGGGTTAGGAATCTGGTTCGGGTTAGGAATCTGGTTCAGGTCAGGAAACTTATTTGGGTTAGGCCANGCGACTATCCGAAATGGAATCTGGTTCGGGTTAGGAATCTGGTTTGGGTTAGGAATCTGGTTCGGGTTAGGAATCTGGTTCAGGTCAGGAAACTTGTTTGGGTTAGGACAGCGGAGATTGCCAACCTGCGGAAGTCTGTCATGTGACTATCTGACATCCTAATTGGCTGCAAGAACAAGGGAAATCGGTCGTCCAATCACTACAGGATTTCGGATCCTAACTGGTTCGGGAAGGCGTAGCGTTAGGTTTGGAATCTGGTTCGGGTTAGGAAGCTGGTTTAGCTAAGGAATCTGGTTTGGGTTAGGGAACGAGTTCGGGATAGGGAACTTTCCAGCAGGTGTTGCTCCCCACCAATAGATGGAGCTTGTTTTTGAAAAAAAAAAAAAAAAAAAAAAGGAAGGGGGGTACCATTGTGGTAATCAGGCATGGGGGGGAATTGCAAATCGCTGATTCTGCAAAGGAGTGGACCCCCTGCTGGCAAGCCTGCTTGAAATCAGCATGAACATTCCAGGCTTCCTGGACAAGTTCAGCATTTTTTTCTTTTTTTTGGGTTTCTGGTTTTGGTGCACACTGCCGCACAATCCTCAGAAACGGTCGTGTGTATATGCCTCCTACGGTCTTCGCCTGAATAGACCGCCTGGTCATTACAGTTGTACTTGGTGCAAGTTGTTGCAGTCCAGATGCGGCGAAAATGACCGGGTGTTCTATTAGGGTGAAGACGGTAGGGCTCGTTGGTCTAAGGGTCTCGATGCTCTGTCATTCGCTGAATGTGAAAACTGGCGAAGGTATCTGGCTATCTTTTACCCCACGATGCACTCACTATTTTGCACCTCTGGCAAGTGGTGACTCAGCAAGGTCCTCAGTAAGGAGTTTTAGTGGTTAGGTGCATGCACTTAGAGGAATCAGTGACATTGTTTTTCAGTGGGTGATTGGGTTGTTGCGATTTAACCCTCGCGGGGGCTGTGTGACATTGCGTGGTTGATTTGACCATTGCAAGGAAGGAAAGTATTCCCCTTCTGTGCGTCCCCGCGCCCCCCCCTCCGCCCACATCCCTCCCCTTTCTCTCCCTCTCCTGCATGCACTTACAGGAACCAGTGACATTGTTTTTCAGTGGCTGATTGGTCGATTGCGATTTAACCCTCGGGGGGGTTGTGGCATTACGTGGTTGATTTGACTGTCG